GAGACACACACACACACACACACACATAGTTTGGCTCTGGCAATCGACCATTGGGGTAGATACCTGGTTGTGCTATCTTAATTCATTGATAAGGTAGTTCCTTGAAATTGGTTTAAATTGGAGATGTTCATTCCTTCAATGCGAAGTGGGCTCCAACATAAATAAAAAATAAAGAATAGTGGATTGCAACAATCACTTCTTAGAAAGACCAGCCATCATTCATCAAACACATAGACCACTAAAACCAGTAGATCAGGAAATAAGTTTAGTGCCCATCAATCCTGTATTTCATTAATATTTGAATCTTCATACTGGCAGAGTGATGAGGCCACTACCAAAGAACATGAGAGAAACAGGTTAAAACTTCACACTTGTTTGGGTGGGTCATCATCAATTAACAAGTAGTTATGTAGCATCATTACAAACCTAACCTCACACACTGCTTAAATGAAGTACTTAATACACGATAGAATTTTATGTTTTTCCATCCTCATTTATGAGGATGCCAATTGAAAGTACTTCACAATGCAAAATACTAGAAGAGGGACAGAAGAGAAACACAGTCCACTAAGATATCTGAGAAATTCTTACCCCAATGCTTCGCACTACCCATAAACTCACAGCCATCAACAATCCAATTCCACTTTTATTGAAGGCTAGAGACTCCTCAAAGATAATCCCTGCATATCCTATTGCAAAAAGCAATGCCATAGCAACATCCTGCACTATGAAATTAGATAATATCAAGACAGGTTTCTGTGCATAATCCCATAATATGAGAACCATTGGTCAAAGACAGGCAATTGGTGAAAACCTATAAAGAAAGGATTAGACAAGAAATTAAAGAATAACCTCATTGGAAGCAACCCATGACAGGTTAATTGCCAGAGTCCCTGTTAAAGCTGCTGTGAAAATCGCAATAGTTTTTAACAAATCAGTCTTTGGCTGGTAAGTAGCTTCAAAATCTACCGAGCTAGTTTCATCAACTGAACATAAAGGATCACACGATCCAGATGGTGAGGTCAGCTCCTGTTGATATGAAAAGGTCAATTCGGTGTATGACAGAATCCACAAAAAATTAGAAGGAACATAAAATGCTGTTTGCAATGATGATTGGTTTTTAAGCAATTTGGAGAATGCCTTTTGAGCAATCTCAATCCCGCCAAGGGAGGATGAGGATCGAAGAAGTCATTTGAAAAATGTTCCTAGCCTTTAGCAATTTTGCATAACGAAGCTACTTTCAGGACTTGAACTTGCACTTTTGTGCTCGTCAGCCAAAAATTTTGATATTGCACCAGAAAATGATCCCTAAATAACCCTCAAATATCTAACAAAATCAAACCTTAATTCTGAGCTAAACATCTGCAGATGGTAATTTCTAATAGTAATAGCTTGAAATTCCATCGTATTCTTCGAGCTTTTCATCAAACAGTTCAATTCAAATTTAAGCAATGACAACCAAGATAAAATCTTGAAATTAAACTAGCAGAATAGGCAAATGGGTGCGCTTAAAACCGGAATTCTTATAAGCAAGACAATAAAGATGACCAAAGACTAACACCCAAATCAATAAATTAACAAAAAAGCAAATGAGTACTCAAAATTGAAATTTTCATAATGGTACAACGATAAAAAGAACAAAAACCTCAAGCTGCTTTTCCTTGTTGGGTTGACCTTGTTGTTGAGTTGTAGGAGAAGAAGAAGAGTCTCTGGCCTTATCCTCAGCTCTAGCAAGAACTCCATTGCGAAGCAACCTAGGAGCCCTGATTCTACAAAGTGAAGAGCCAAAGCTAGGCAACGAGTGGACGGAGGGACAGTGGAAAGAGCGTTTCTTGAAATGGTATGATGGTGAAAAATGACTCCCAATTGATAAGGCAGCCATTAAAAGCTTGGATTTTTTAGGAAGATCAGTTATTAAGGAAGGGTCGAAAAAGAGACTCACTCTCTTTTGATTGCTCTTTGATAAATCTGCTTCAGTTTCACTATGGCAAGTTGTTGCATGGAATAAACAGGCTCATCTCATTATTCTACCGGGACGATGCAATAGGGACAACTATTGCCAAGGCCCACGTGACAATGCAAGAAGCGGTAAACAGAGTCAAAGTAAAGAAAACTTTTTTCTGTTTTGGAATGTTGGCCCATTTATTTCCATTTTCTCGTCCCGTTAACTGAACAAGGTTACTTTTTTTTTTTTTTAATTTTAGCTTAACTATTATCACCTCGTACAGTTTGAGTGCTAATGGTAAATCATGTAAAAAGTTTAAAATAACAGGATTAAAAAATAATAATAATAATAATAATAAGAAAATGAATTATTGGGATATCTAGACATGACACGTGGTCCACTTCCTTCTCTCAAACATGTCTGGTCCTCTTCCAACTGCAGTTGTCCGGAAGATTAGATTAGAGGCGGTGTGGCGCCACTCGAAACTCCCCTCAAACTCCTCCAAACATGGCCTTGGCGCAAGTCTCTGCTTCTCTTTCTCTTTCCGTTCATGGTACTCTTCTCTCAATTCATTCCCTCACTTTATCTCTTGACATTGCTTATTAAGTCTTTATTGCGAATTTTATAGGTCCGAATTGTGTTGCAGATATCTGTCCTATCAGCTCACCAAGAACCCGTACAATAGCTCGTTTACCCATTTCGAGTTTTCCTCGAAGCGGCTCCACTTTTGCCACTGGTTCCCCTCTCTGTAAGCAATTCTGAGCTTTGAAACTTTATGAATATATTGTTTTTCTATGTTGTGGGATTCCTTTTTCTTTTTTCATGATAACTGCTTGGTTTTTTAATGCAAATAATGGGTATTTTTTGAATTTGTTTGAAATGATTATACATGGTAAAGGGAAGTGGCTTATTTGGATTGGGGGTATTGTATTGACCTGTCTATTGCAATGTACATTGTGAAATGTGACTTTCTTTTGAAGAGCAGACTAGGGATTTAACTGCTAAATAAGCCCTGGAAAGGAATTGTTTTGGGGCTAGCAGGAAAACAGCTTTAAATTTTGTGTATACTTCTTTGCGTAGGGATAGATATTTGTGATGTTCAATTATGATTCAATATTATATAGTGTAGCTGTTTTGATCTTGCATATATCTTGTATAGTTGGCTCCTGGTTTCCATAATTGCTTTGCCATTGTCTTTAGCCAGATTCCAAATTCTTTTTCAAGATTGATTCATATCAAGATGTACTGTTTTGATCTTTTTCTTTGCCATTTTATGCACTGTTTGGGTTGATGAAATTTTACAAGAAGATAAGAGTCTCTTCCAATTGTTACATGAACTTTGTAACTTTAACCTCCTTATCATTCATGTCCTTGCAACTAGAGGAGCATGGGATTTCATTTGAAATTAGTAGAGTGAAAGATAGTGCTTGCTTTTGCTTGCAGTGATAAGGAGAACATCTCTCCAGAGGAAGCCTGTGTGTAAAGCAACACCAGTTTCCATTAAGTGTGAGCAAAGCACCCAGGGGGGTAACAGTTTGGATGTATGGCTAGGACGACTGGCAATGGTCGGCTTTGCAGTGGCTATTACTGTTGAAATATCAACTGGCAAGGGACTTTTGGAGGTATCTGCACTGTGCCATCGTTTTCTAATTTATGTACCTGTGTTAGGGCTACCTACCATATTAAAACATGTTTCCCTTGGTCTTGCAGAATTTTGGCCTCACAACCCCCTTGCCTACAGTGGCCTTGGCTGTAACAGCATTGGTTGGTGTTTTGATAGCTATTTTTATCTTTCAGTCTGCCTCGAAAAGTTGATCGCTGTTAGGGTCTTAGAGTTTATCATCCTGAAGATGTTTATAGCTGCATTTTTGTTCATTGACTGTAATTCAGTTGTCTAGCCAACAATAGCATATGTTTGAGATTGTACAAGAAATTCAATTTTAAGTTTATGTGAATGCCTTCCTCTCTTTGTGTTTCTTTTTCTTAACTGTTACGTATAGTTTTCTGTTTTTGTACATTATTGGTGATGCCCTGAAACAAAAATGGTTCAAGCATTCTGTTTCTAAATGTCTCATTGTGACACAGGGAATGCTTCCACATCTCGTTGGCTAATAGAGCCATAAGAAAAGAATTTTCTTAATTAACTGTGAATTGTTTTCTGGATGCCATAATATTTTTGATTAGTTTGATTTGCCTAGTAAATATGGAGTTAATTATGTAGCCACCGGCGGCCCTGATTTGAGCCTCTAGCAGTAGTGCTATGTGAGCAGCTGTGTCTTTTTCACCAAAACAAATGATGACTTGCACTTTTGATTTGCATCAAAATATCAGTCAGCCAGCAACTGTTAAGCACATAACCTTTTAAAGTTTAAACATTCAGACATACTCTGTTGAACTTTTAAGCAATAGCCATCACCCAATAGAATCTGATATCTCCACTAATGTGAAACATATGGAATGGCAAACAAATTACACCATCAAAAGTCAGAGAAAGCAAACGGACTTCATTCTTTTCCTCTATCAGAACATATTCTCCTTTACCCTTTTAGCCTTTTTCCATCCAACAGTGCCAAACCTGGTAATGGTATTGACTTACAACACAAGGGACTCTTTTGCTCTTCATAGGTTTTCGTATTGGAAAAAGTAACCCTCAATCTTTACTCTTTAAACATGCAAAGAAACTTCACTTAAGTTGCGTATGCCTTTTTCTTTTTTTTTTTAAATCTTCCCGGGATCTTACTTTTGATTATCTTATTCTGGTTCTTTGGGTGAACTAATTTTTGGTAATGGGGGCAAAACTATCTCGAATTGCCAAGAGGTTTGGTTTCCTTCCTCAGTGTAGATTAAGGATTCTCATGGTGGGTCTTGATGCTTCAGGGACGACAACCATTCTTTACAAGTTAAAGCTGGGAGATCTGCTTAAAACCAAGCCCACAGTTGGTATCCAAACTCACTCTTTACTTCGTGACCTCATGGCTGCTTTTCTTCTCACAATAGGCCTATAAGGCTTAATTCTCTTTGTTTTCAGGCTATTCAGTTTGTTCTGTACCGTGTTCTAGATTGGAAATCAGACGATAACCAAGAAAGGAAGAAAGAAGGAAACTGTGAAGAACAGGCAGTAGTTTAGAAATCATGATACACAAAAAATTGTTTTCTGTTTTGAATTTTAGCTTGACATGATCAAGTTTGAAGGATTCAATATAATCATGGTTCCAACTGTAGCCTGCACTATGTCATATATGCTTCTAATGACTTGAAAATACAGCAAGATGATGACTTCTATTTTAAGATTTCAAGGGTTTTTAGCTTGCCAATTAATTCTGTGCCTGTTGATATCATTTTTTGTCGGCCAGGTTTTAATGTAGAGACCATAGAGTACAAAAATATATGCTTTGATGTATGGGATATCGGAGGACAAAGCAAGGTACCAAGTAAAATCTCATTGGTTAGATTGGCTACTGTGTTTGATATGTTAAATGAATGAGATACAGCACAGGCTAACTAACTACAGTACAGATTCGGCCGTTGTGGAGACATTACTTCCTGAACGTCCAAGGCGTGATCTTCGTGGTAGACAGCACTGATAGAGAAAGAATCTCAGAAGCCCGCAACGAGCTGCATTGGATTTTGTCAGAAGTTAGTAAGCTTTTCATATTGAAAATAATGTTTAGTTTTCCGTTCTTAATTCTAAAGAAAAACCCTGGGGAAGAACATATACAGAACAGAAAAACAGTATAGTCCTCAACCAAATTGATCGATTCTGTCCAAGTTCCAAAGTGTAGCCTACTGAAATTGCAATCTTCATCTGCATGATCACATTAAACCTTTTTTTGATGTGATATGCTCTGCTGTGCTGCCTCTGCAATTGCAAGTTCTATAACCTCTAACCAATGACACTTAGTGAGAATACTGATCCTCCTTTTGTTGCTATCATTGCAGAATGAACTAGCCAGTGCATCACTATTAGTCTTTGCCAATAAGCAAGACCTGCAAAATGCCATGACCTCGTCTGAGATTGCTGATAAACTTGGATTGCACTGTCTTGGACAGCGACCCTGGTAAGAAACCTTCTTCAAATGTTAGACCTTGTGATCCACAAGTGAATGTACACCATTCTCATTTTTACCATTTTCTCTGTTCTATGTTCTATTTTTCACTTCCTATTGTGATCAAGTAAAACGTAGTAGGACATGAAACTTAGAATGGTGAAAGCTTATCTTCGCTATTGATCCTGAGAAAATTGTTTGAAGATTGAATACCTCCAAATGGTTTGACAGGTCGTCTCAAATCAAATTTTGTTGTGCAGGTACATCCAGGGTACTTCTGCTCACTCTGGCTGTGGACTCTATGAAGGTCTCGACTGGCTATCTAACAATATCTCCCTCGATGCAGAATCCTTCTCATACGGCCACATTCCTCATCTTTTCTCCAACAGAAATCACCAGAATGAAATTGATTTGACACTCATTGAATTGGAAAAAGAGAATGTAATATTTTGAAAATCCAGCATGAACTTTTCACAAGTTGCAATTTTAGAAGATGCAGCGATGCTTTTCACTGAGCGGACTCCCCTGCAAATAGATATCATTCACTGTCTGCATCTGTGTATTTATAAGTTGACAGGTTTTTTTTTTTTTATTTCAATAAATATGAATTTAGAATTACATCATGACACTTCTTATATTCCATCCGGTGAGAAAGGAAGCATGGTGCTGTGGGAAATCATCTACTTTACGATGGCAATACACATATGCAAAGATTTCCACCAATTTATGGCCATTGATTGCTTTCGCCTAGTAAAAAAGAGCAGTTCACACGCCATTGAAACCATTAGAAAACAGAGGAATGACATTAAGAAGCTAAAATTGACAAGTGTCTGAAAAAAGAAGCAAAGGTAAAAAGATTTCCTCCTGCCTCAAAATCTCCAACTTGAACAACTCAAACAACAATATTTCAAAGGAAATATATGTGCAAGTTGGGCCTCTTTCTATTAGGCATCCATTGATAACATGATTGATAATACTAGATAAAATAAAAAGGGTTCTTCTCAATACTGTTTCATCCATGAGCAGTAGACCGAAGCTATAGACATCCTGCAATGAGATAGTTCACCAAAATTTCTCCTATTTACCTTTAGTATTCTATCAAAGGGTGTCACAAAGGTGTAAACACATTGTCAAAAAAGAGATCAGTGAAATACATCACACCTCAGGAAAAGGGAAGTGGCTAACAATTTTCAATGAGGTTAAAATACATGGGCAAAATTTGAGAAATTCAATTGCAAACATATTAGAAGCTGTTGAAGGAACACCAACATATCTAGAAATCCATGGATCGAGACCCTGATGAAGCCTTTGATTTTTTACTCTTTTTTTTCTTTCCTCCATTTTTGTTTGCCTTTTTCTTTGGTTTCTCATCTAAAACAGGCTGTGTGCTCTGTAAATGTTGATGAATGGCAGCCAGTGGATCAGCTTGGAAAGCAGGATGCTTAAGAACTGCACTCAATTGTTTTCCCTCCCTCAATCTGATGAGAGTTCATCCATTAAAAATCGGGCATTTTATTGCAGGGGAAAATCAAACATTATAACAAGATAGAATCACAGAATTGAAGCACGCACATTAATTCTTTCCTAGATTTGCAATTGAGCTTGAATTCAGCAGCAGGAGTTGGTTCTTTGGGAGCTTTCAACTCAGGAAGAAACTCTGACAGGGCAGAGAGATCATATGCTTTCAATTTCCTCTGTCGGCTTCGAAGTTTCTTCTTCTGGTAGGAGACAACATGTTCGTTAGCAAACTCTTAACTTCAAACTAAAGGCATGCAGTGTGCATTCATGACTGGTGCCCTTGCTTTAGTGAGTGAAAACATTTACTTCTATCCCCAAAAAATGTCAGCAGAAGAAATATATGATTAGAAATTTCATGAGGAGCTCATTGCAATGTCAGCAGTGATCGAACGAATCCAACCACGTGTTGCTCAAAACAATTTGCTATAACATGTGCAAGAAACTACTATGCATCAAATATCGAGATTATAACAAACCCCAAATTGAATTAAATCCCCCGAAAAATAAACTTAGGCCTATAGTTGTATGGTAAACAAATTAAGAGTGATAGCATCCATCCACATGTCGCTCAAAACATATTTGCTATAACATGTGCTAGAAATTACTATGCATCAAATATCGGGATTATAATGAACCCCACATTGAACTAAATCCCACTGAATTATAAATTTAGATTTGCAGCAATTACATTAACCTACACAAATTAATAATGTTTGCAAGTAAGAGCCTATCACCTTTGTTATGCCCTTCGAGGCCGTCAACGAGGCAACGGTATCTCTAACCTCTGCATATATATATCAAATAAATGAAATTATTTCATTTAAATGAAAATTGACACTCCGAACATAGACTTACGAAAATTGAGTTTTCATCATCAAACATGAGAAACAGAAGAAGAGTTTGAACTCACTGGAATAAAACTGGAGCTTCTTTTCGAATTTTTTATCGGCTTTAGACGAAGGATCTGGCCTGCCAAAGCCAAAAAGAAGATCAAAAATCGTAAAACTGCAGGAACCCCAACTTCAAAGATTAATCAGAGTTAAAGCAAAAACACAATAAAAACATTCACCGTGAGCTTGCTTTCCCCATGTTTGAATAACTTCCAAGGTTAAAATCTCAGAATGGAGAAACCAAAGGTAGGGAGGGTTTTAGGATTTGATTACTGATACTCGGAGAGAGCTAGCCAAACGCAAAGTCTGCACGGGCTTGATTTATTTTCCTTCCTTTTAGTGCTTTGGGCCTTGTTTGCAAACCCAGGAAATTTTGGATTCCACAATTAATGGTACTTTGAGCTGCACTGACTTGATTGGGCCAAATGTGTGGGCTTCCCTCGTCCAATTCCTTTTTTCCTGATGGAACCTTCTTTGATTTTTGTAATCTTTATCAAATTATTCATAATTTTAAACTAGGTTTTGTCTATGAGTTTATCAACTCTAATTTAAAGATTTTAAATTGAACCCTTTTGCTTTTTAATTACTATTAATGTTAGGCTTCAAAATATCCCCTCCTTACGGGATTCCCTCCTATGGAGCAAAAATGCAGGGGCAGAGTCTGCCCAGAAGTGCTGCTCATGAGTCTTATTTTGGACTGCAAAATTTGGTTTTTCAGATGCAATCGGCACAGCAATATCCTCACGGATGAGACATCAGCTACTCGGAGTTTCTCCTGGCTTGATAAGCCATGCCCTCTTTCAGTTGATTAGTGTAGTTGTCTTTGTGCTTTTGTGAATATGTCATCAAGAACTTGAGTTTAGTCCATAGCATTCAAACACGAGGGGATAGGATTCAATTCTGATAAGAATTTCAGAGTCTGAAATGAGAAACTCTGAAGGAAGATTCTTAAACACTTTCCCTTGTATTTAAGATTCTGTAATTGAATCTGATTATCCCTTGATCCAAAAAAAAAAAATTAGGCTTCAATATCATAGAATCAGCTCAAACAATTTAAACCTGTCCGATCCAAATTTTTACCATGATGATGCTAATGCAGAGTACAAAGCAAGTGCATAGAATCCTAGAGAAATGCAGAGTAATTTTTGTTGGGAAGACAGGCAACAACGATCCCAATTTAGGAAAGCGGCTGGCCAGGTTGAACAAACCAGGGGGCATGTGCTTTTGCTTTGTCATCCTAACAGCAAATCTTTGCTACAGTTTTGTAAGTAAATAACCTTACCCAACCCATTGATCTTTTGTCCTACCATATCTCTGCTCATCACTAGAAATACTTAAAAAAAAAAAAACATATTCGTTTTGCAATAATCCAACGTGTGAGCGGCCCATTCTTCATTGCTACTTTAAATTTCACAGAAAAACAATTTAAAATTTAAAAAAAATATAATTTTTAAAATAAATATTTCATCTCAAATATTTAATTTATATTAATATCTGAACATAAAATATTTAAAATATTATTTCCCCTTTTTCACTCTTTCCTTTTCTCTCAAGTCAGACTAGCGAACACCGATCGATCACTTCGCAATCAAAGATTTGACTAGACTCCTAAAGTAGCAGCAGATCAGTGCTCTCCTAGCTTGGGGAGCACCACCCAGTACTCCCAAGCTAGAATAGCATGGCCAAAGATCTATCCGAATTTGGTCATGCAGGATTATATTCGGCCAAAAAGTTCTCGACCGATGATAGGGATGCCACCGGTCTCAAGTTTGAAAGAAAAAAATAAAAGAGAAAAGATTTTCTTAATACAAAATAAATTTAAAAAATAAAAATTATAATTTATATATTATGTAATTTTTTAAAAAATATTATCATATCAACAAATTAACGAAAATATCAACAAAATCCTAATGATTAAAATATATCTAATAAAAAAAATTTTATGATGAATTATTCATTTTTCATATTAATAGATTTATGTGGAATTTTGATTAAAATTTTAAAAAATATTGATATTTTACCTTATGTTAAATTATTAAATCATGTTAGAGTTTTTTGATGTTTTATAAATGAATGTCTTATGTTACATTATTCGAGCAATTACGTATATATTATGGAATAGTTTATATTGGAGCAATCCCATTATATTATTTGAGCAACCATTTATGAAATCGAGAGTCCCCATGCCTATTCCTTCTTTATAGAAGCAGAATTTTTTGTTTGTTTGATACAGTATTAGTATTAGTTTATTGGTTTCCATATTATACTACTGTTAAATTAGGATTAAGCATCTTGCCAGCTAATAGTTTCTTTTTTCTTAACCAGTACGTGATATTTTAGTTTAAAATGCATTCTGAATTGTTTAAATCTCTTGGTTTTTTGGGATGTTCATGTCTGTTCAACAGCGTTGTTTTTTATTATAAAATTTACTCTTAAAATATAATGATTAAAAAATTTTAAAAACTGGCATATAAATAAATAATATCTTATTGTAGAACATATACGCAGAACAATTGATTCTCAATAATATCTCTCTATATAAATAAATATATATATACTCATAAAAATAATAGTACTTGAAAAAATTGAGAGTGCTAACGACTTTCATAGCATTGCTTTTGCAAACAAAAATAATAGGAATCTTGCAAATCTTCTCAGGTCGACACATAGCATAGCTTTTGCAACCAAAAACTCTCCTCCTCACAATGAGGTAGACACTCAGACAGGCCTTTGTCTCAGCTTAGCTGTCCTTGTAAACAGTTCAGCTTTCTGAGGATGGGTCATGGCTTGTGAAAAAAGTCCCTCGAAGAGCATCTTCTTTCAAAGATCCAGATACAAGAGTACATTGAAAAAAGGGTTCTCACATCTCTAAGAATACATCCCTTTCATGCTTCATCGGCATTGCTTTGGGAGTAAAAAGGAATGCTTACACAATTAACAAAAAGGTCCAAACTAAAACAGTCACCAGTTTTGCTTAATCTGCTGTTCGATGTTTGAATCTGAGCAAGAACCTTTCTTGTACCTAATGTAAGTTTTTTTTTTAAGTGAATTTTGCTATGGTTGAGAGCAAGAGGAAATCCAAGGCCACAAGAAAGTTGGTAATTGCCCTGCAACTAAATTGACAATGACTGATCTCAGACACCGTGCCACCGACACCAAGAAAGAACACCTGCCATTAACGACTTTTCTTCTCTCTCGGAATTTCTGCATCATCACATTCTTATCGTTACCCCTTAAGCTTTAATCACCAAAGCATCTCTGACACTGTCAGTAATCTCTTCAACTTTATGCAACTAGCACTAATCCCTGTTCACACTTTTCTGCATCACATTTCTACTGCAGATCCGTTCATCCAAAAGCAAATTCCATTTTTTTCCATCACTCAAACCCATGTTTTTATTCTTGATAATAATAATAATATGTAAATGCAACAGACTAAAATATCATTGACAGCGTGCTAGGGGTTCCATTTCCCCCTACTTTAAAGAAACTATTTGCTTCGGATAGGATAGGGCTAGTTATTTTGAGAGACTAAAATACATTGCAATAATAATTTTTTTCTTAATCAAATTACATAATAATTATTTTTATTTTATTTTCTAATAATAACCGTTCCTTTTTTTCTGTATTTTATTTTGCAAACTAAAACACCTTGAATAAATTTTTCATCAATGGGTCAAATAGTTGATTTAGAATAGCTTATTTAAGAATTAAAAGTCTAGTAGTCAAATTTGGGTTGTTTTTTATTCTCAAATGTCCTGTAAAGAAGTTTCCGAGCTACATTAATATGGAGTAACAAATTAAAAGTTACACTAGGTAGTGGGCTCCTAATTTGGTATGGGAACCAATAACAGTGGTGTCACTATTTGTTTAATTATTGTCCCTAATTGGAATAAATGCTTACGAATTGAGAAACACATGGGAGATCAACATCACTTTTACTTCAAACTGAAGGGATCATCACTATACCTGACACCACTCATTATTTTTTTTAATCCCATATGTACATACATACTAATAAATCCTTCGCTCGCTACAAAATAAAAAATGTATATATTTCTATTACAAACTGCTAATATTAGGTAATTAAAAAATGAAAAACATTGACCGACGAATCCGACATTAAGACCTTGGTTTTCCACCGTAAGCTTGCTTGCAAACTGCGTAAGATTTCTGTGAAGGAGTGCATAGCTGAGAAGATCCTGGACATCCCTGTAGGCAATTGTCCCCCAAGCTACCGGAAACCGATGTGTCACCGGCGAAAAACTCAGACGGAGGTTTTCCAATCAAGAAATTCCCGTCCAGAAACAACCGCCTTAATGACTTGTTCTTGCTGTATTCCAATGGGATGGCGCCACGTAAACGATTGTAACGCAACGACAAAGATGACAGCAGAGGATAGTCAGCGAAATTCGCGGGGACGTTTCCCTCTATCTTGTTGAACCCGAGATTAACAGCCACAAGGTCGCTGTTACCACCGGGGGGCTTCGAGATCTCGATGCGTGTGAAGCTGTTATTGGCTAAATCTACTTGTTGTAATGACGGTAACAGAAAGAACCAAGATTGCAGTGTCCCGGTGAACGAGTTTTCACTGAGTTCAACAACTTCCAACTGAGTCAACCCATCAAAAGAGGATTTTGAGATGTACCCAGCTAAATAATTCCCCCTTAAAGCAAGCTCTAGCAAGTTATATGGCAGTTTTGGTAAAAAACCAGTGAGTTTGTTGTAACTCAGATCGACTCTCCTCAAACTAGAAAGCGAGTTCAGTGTTTTTGGCAAAGGCCCAGACAGAGAATTATGAGAAAGGTCCAAGTATTCAAGAGATTTGATGATAGCAACTGAGTCAGGGATTGAGCCAGAGAACGAGTTGGACCTAAGACTCAAACTTTGGAGACTAGGGAGAGAAGAAATGGAAGGAGGTATCGTGCCAAAGAAGTTGTTATCAGAAAGATCAAGAGTGGTAAGTTGTGTGAGTTGGGAAACGAGTGGGTTGAGTTGGCCCGAGTAACCAGCTGGATCAAGAGTGATTTGGGTGACACGAGTTGAGTCAGGCGAGCAGGTGAGGCCGCAGATGAAGTGGGTCCGGCGAGGGATGGAGCAAGGGTCGGTGGTGAAGTCCCACGAAGCAAGGCAGGACCATGACGGGATTGAACTCGGCTTGATGGAGGCCTTGAAGGCTTTGAGAGCTGCAATGTCCTGCGGTGAGGTGAGGGCCTGAGCTAGAGAAAATCTGCAAAGAAGAAGAAGAAGAAGAAAACAGAGAGTGTCGAACATGGAGACAGAATTTTGCTTTTTCTTCGGGGCGTATTAATTTTCTCTTCTAATTTTTTCTCGTTTTCAAAAGGAGATGGAATGGGAGAGCTTATTGAATGATGCAAACTTAAAGGTCGTTTGGAAATTACATGTACGGTTGGACAGCACTCAAATTTTGTAGTGTGGTTGGGCAAATCCTATATTTCTATATTTTATTCATCCACCATCCAGATATTTAAGCAGCATCTATCAAGTACAATAATTTAAAAAATTATTAAATTATTTTTAAAAATTTTAATTAAAATTTTATTTTAAATTAAATAAATCTTATTAATTATTATTGATTTAAATATTATTTATTATTTTTAAATTACATAATGTTGTAAGTGAAAAAATTCATATGACTCGTTATGTCTTATGCCATACCAATATATTAGATTAATATTATATAATATAAAATAATTAATGATATTTTAGAAATATTTGTTTACAATAAAAATATAAAAAATCAATTAAATAAAATAAAAATTAAAATTTTTTTAAAATTTTCTAGTGCAATATTATTGCTAATTTACTATTATCATAGGTTAAAGAGGTTGTCAGTTGTCACAACTCACTACCCGCATCTCTAAATTTCGATTTTGTTGAGCAGCATATGTACTTGGTGTTCTATATATTTACAAGTCTTTTGAATTTTTTCATATTTTTGTAATGGGATTTAAAAGTTGACTAAAAGCCATTTTATGTGTTTCTTTTTTCATTACATTTATAATTCAATTCTGCAAAATTATAATCAAAGAGAACTTTTAGCATTTATTTTAAGTAATTCACAGTTAAAATCTTTTGAAATACTTTCGTTTACTATAATAATGATGCTTAAAATAATATGGTCATCTTAATTTTAATTAACGGATCATTTGAAGAGAAGAAAAAGTTGTTGTATTACAATACTGATTTTTTTGAAGTTGATTGTCTAGATATACACGTAGGTGATTAATTAAAACGTATATACACGAACTTATCATAATCCATAAGATTTCGGTTACAACAACCTTACAAAGGAACATTAAAGAAATGAAGAAACTAGCTGTCATGTTTTAAACCTCTATGTTTAGTGGTCCTTTTGCTTGGAGCCTCGCCAAATTTTCCTCAATTTGATAGTTCAGTATCAGCAATTAATTAAACAGAGCATTCAACTGTAGAAATGGCCAATGGGTGGTTACCGGCTTTACCTTTGTGAGTCTTTGACCCCATTGGCCATTAGTTCAAAGCTTTAGGTAGAACCAAGTTGGATAACTTTTGACTTTTTTTTACAGGTCATCTTGTCTTCTTTCTCTCCTAGTACAGGGAAAATTGTTATGTTATACTAATAATCAAAAGTTTTGACAGGATTATTATGAATACCGACTGGATTATTCTTCCTCGGAAGTATTGAATCAAATCAAAGAAAATGACATATCACTGCAGAATTAGCATTGTAACCCGATTCATGGTGGTTTGAGACTTTGGGTTAAATGATAAAGAAGTGTCACTGTATTAACCGAAGCGAACCAGGTTTTCCTGTTATTCGAGGTACGTTTTGTGAGCAGAAAGGTCCACAAAGAATCTGACACTAACAGTGGCTCCGTACTTGAGATATTTACAATAATCGGGGCACTCCACCCGGCAATGCTTCGTGATACTTCACCCCCAAAATTTAGCCAAAGCCTAATATTAACTGGCCCAAATCTTGTCAGGTCGCTCCTACACTGCATTATTTGATTTTCTCAGTACACCTTTTTTTGTTTTGTTTTGTTCTGTGTGTTTGAATTTCCACTACTTAACATGCTTTTACTCCCGTATAGATGAGATGAAAAATGAGACTTTATAAATAGGCATAGCACATTACTCAATCTAATTAAGTATGTTTATGGTATCTTATGAGTTTTGGTATGAGTTTGGAAAAGAGTTCAAGTACATAAAAATTTCACAAACTCAACAGGAGCCCTCGAAGATGGGCATCCGTACTGATTCGGGCCCAACGAAACTTAGCGGGAGACTCGACTTTAAAGTTGGAAACAATCAACGGCAATTTGGAGGAACAAGAAAACAGCTTGTTGCATCTTCCAATGGAGACAATTAATTAGTCCATCTATTTGACCATTTATCTTCTTTTCGGCTCATCCATTTAACCATTTATCTAAGGACAAACTGTTAAAAAACACACACACACACACACACAATTCCCGACAAAATGGTTGTCATTGTCAACTGGTTAGAATGCTTCAATAATTGTTCATCTAGAGCATCTACAGCTCATAAGAGTCATATCCACATGCTCCAAAAAATGACCAAAACCATCCCCCTGCCTCTCCCCTACCTTCTCCTCCTCCTATCCACCACAATCACCACAACCGCTTCCACTTCCGCCTACCCTTCTGTCTCTCAGGACTGCACTCTTTCGACAGGGGATGAGAAACTGGTTCCTGTTAGGCGGGAAGTTTACGGTGATGGGAGAATCTTCGACATTAGCCACCGATACACTACTGACATGCCATCATGGGGGAGCAATGACGGGCTGGGCCAGTTTCTGTGGCTTCCTGCCAGCATGAAGAATGGCTCTCTCGCCAATAATTCTGAGATGAAAATGCCTACCCATACTGGCACGCACGTCGACGCGCCGGGCCATATGATTGACCGTTACTTTGATGCTGGGTTCGATGTCGATACCCTTGATCTTGAAGTCCTTAACGGTGTTCTTGATTTTATTGATGACAATAATTTTTCATCGTTTTCTTCTCCTTAATTCTTCTCTCATTATCAATGATAAAAATGTTACTACATGTTTGATGGTTTTGCATCTGTTCATTACAACAGGTCCAGCTCTGTTAGTTGATGTGCCGAGGGACAAGAACATAACTGGTATCTGTCTCCAACTACCATTCTTTGAATTTAGTTGAACTCTTTTGTTCGGTATGGATGTTGGGTACCCAATGATCAAATTTGCTTTGAGCATAATCTGATAACAGCCTATAATTTTATTTTATTTTTTGTTGTTCTTCTGGGGTTTTGGTTGCAGCCGAGGTCATGGAGTCACTGAAGATTCCCAAGGGAGTGCGTCGTGTGCTTTTCAGAACGTTAAATACCGACAGGTAATCGAAATAATTTATATTAGCACTAATACAGCTGAGCTTAATTTAAGACTAAAACACTACTAGTATAATTTTTCCAGTTTATTAGGATGATTCCATTCGTTCATTCATTCTCCCATCCGGTCTCTCTTCAGCATCCTAGCTCCTTTTAGTGAAAATGGTTACTCCATGGCACAGCAGTCCGTTTATCTGTACATTCAGTTTGTTTGAAGAACAGAGATTACATTACTGAGGGTAAATGATAGTTCTGGTTAAAAAATTTTCAATTTCAGGCGGCTTATGTTTACAAGGAAGTATGATTCAAGCTATGTTGGATTTACAACGGATGGGGCAAGATGGTTGGTGAAGAACACTGACATCAAACTTGTGGGTAAGATATATAGCTTTTGTTTTAAAAATATGTGAGATATGTGCAGAGTGATGGATGCGAATTGCTGGGATGTCTCTACGTTAAAACTTGCGAAATGTTGTTTAAGCCTTGACTTCATATTAGGACATAAGTGCAGTACTTGATATAATTTTCTGACTGCCAAGGATGTTTCTTCGTTTTAATTTGGACATATTTGGGAAATTAGAGAAAATGCTCTTGTGGTGTCTGATTGCTGTGCTTAGATATTGCTACTCGCGCCGACTTATTTGTCTATCTTGAAATGTAGGAATCGATTTCTTATCTGTTGCAGCCCATGATCATCTGGTTTCAGCTCAACTTGAGTTTTTTGAGAGTAGGGTAAGAAAATTGCTATAGTATGATGCATATTTGGTTAATTAGCAGATGTTATTTTACGTTTTCCCCCCTTGAATCTTCATCCATGGTTTTAAAACTAGCTGCCAAAGTTGTTTTCAAGACAAGAGAAAAGGAACATGGAATTTTAATCTGCTGAAAAGGGGTGTCAAGACACTGAATCATTAACATTATTGCATGCATCTGCTGCTCCAGGAAATTATTCTTGTGGAAGGCTTAAAGCTCGATGATGTCCCACTTGGAATATATTCTGTCCACTGCTTACCTCTAAGGCTGCTTGGTGCTGAAGGATCACCCATAAGATGCATTCTCATGAAATGATGCAAATGCAAGTCTGTCGGGAGTTATACAAGAGATTTGGTCGTAGTAACTGCTAGCTATGATGATGTTGCTATGCTTATGCAAATTAGACTGTAAATCTTTAGCAGGAATTAATGATAACTCTGGGGGTCTGGGGGTGATCAGTGAGACAATCAAAGTGGTGTGGAAGGAAATTAGAGCCGGCTGGTCCTGGCTTAGTAGCATGTAATGAAGTCAAAGTGGTTGTCTCAAATAATGAGGAGAATTTGCTATCAATGAATTAATATTGTGATGTGTTTATGGGATTGAATTAGATAAACTGTTACTTTATAATTAAAAGATTTGTTAAATTTTATATATACTAGGATAGTTTTTTTTTTATTAAAAGATAAATAATGAGATCAAATTTTTGGTTTTGAAGATACGGAAGATCAAATTCAACCAAACGAGTATCTCTCATTTTATATTAATTTCGTCATCCATAAACGGATAAACTTCTTCTTTTAAAAGTCAGTCTATGTAGCGTAAACCCTCACGCTGCCTAAAAAGCGCGTGGTCAATCACACGAGCGCACGATTTCAAACGGAAGCAGAGAGTTCTTACGAACCTCGTCAAACTCAGTTCACTTCACTCTACGTTTCCTCTCCCACACTCCCAAAATGGCTCCCCTCTTCCTCCTACTCCTCCTCTCCTCCGCCTTCACCTCCACCGCCACCACCGTATACCCTTCCATCCCCGGCACGGATTCCACCACCGACTGTGGCCTCTCGGGAGGAGACGAGAATCTGATTCCCATCCGTCGCGAAGTCTACGGTAATGGCCGAATATTCGACATCAGCCATAGGTACACCGCCGACATGCCGTCGTGGGAATCCAAAGATGGCATAGGACAGTTCCTTTGGTTGCCTAAAAGCATGAAGAACGGTTCCCTCGCTAATAATTCCGAGATGAAGCTTCCCACTCACACCGGCACGCACCTCGACGCTCCCGGCCACGTCATTGATCGGTACTTCGATGCCGGCTTCGATGTGGACACTCTTGATTTGGAAGTACTTAACGGTAAATAATATTTTTAAAATTGATTCACTTATTTGATAACTGATTTCTGATTATCCTTTTTATCTTTGTTGGGGGGATTTTCCCGTTGTAGGTCCTGCACTGCTGGTAGATGTTCCAAGGGACAAAAATATAACCGGTCCGTGCCTTTGCATTTTCTTGTTCATAATTTTCATGTTTTTTCATAGTATTTAAGTTTATAATTTTGTCTATTTTTCTTGATTATAGCTGAGGTTATGGAGTCTTTCAAAATACTTAAGGGAGTACGTAGAGTTCTTTTCAGAACATTAAATACCGACAGGTGATTGCATAAATACTCCATGGAATCAGATAAGCAGCTTTTATAGGTCAAAGAATGCAAAATCTGAGCTTACATTTGTCAATTTTCAGGCGGCTAATGTTTAAGAAAGAGTTTGATACAAGCTATGTGGGATTTATGAAGGATGGGGCAGAATGGTTGGTTAAAAACACTGACATCAAATTTGTTGGTAAGATGTTGCCTTCAGAAATTCTAAAAAAAAGGGTTACTTTTATTCAAATTACGAAACTTTTAATTAGTTCTGGTTCTTGTTAGCTCAGAACAGAACTCTTGTAGTTTTGCTGATTTGTCTGTCTCTATTCTGAAATGCAGGAATTGATTACTTATCTGTTGCTGCTTTTGATGATCTGATTCCATCTCATCTTGTTTTCTTAGAAGGCCGGGTAAGAAATCATCGACTAATGTGTTAATTGTCTTCTGTGTTTCAGTTTTGACAATTGATTTTCCATTTATTCTTAAAACTCCTGTTTGTCCAGAATGACCACTTCATATATTATTGCTGAGTCAAATTTAATTTCCTGCTTCTTAAGTTCATGAATCGCAGCGAACTACGTTGTGTACATGCATTACTCTGTGTGTTTGTATTGATTCCGTAATGTCTTCTTGGTCAAGTTTGGTTTCCTGGCTTATATTAAGGGGTATCTCTTTTAAGGGTTTTGCTAATGAATGTGCTAAGGGCAATTTTTTAAGGTTATTATATTAAGTAATATATTCTTCTAACGCATTGGAATTCATAATATTGACTGTCAATTACCATGTAGTATAAAATTATTACTATACATTGTATTTTAATTAACCTTAAAGAGGTGCGCTTAGGCTACGCATTTGCAAAATCCATCTTTAAATTATTTTCAATGAAGTATTGTGAAATTAGCAACTTAATGGTTTGTTCCTTCTCATTCCTTAGTTTGACCTGACTGTTGTTGGGGACTCTACCAACCATCATGTTTCTTGGATGAACAAAGTGTTGGGGACATTTCTTAGGTCTCTGCTGATTAAATTGCAACCCTTAAGTCTAATTGTTCATTTTCATCTTGGGTTGTTGGTGTTTTAGGCTCTAACTCTGCCGGAGTTTATCACAATTAAAATTGTTATAGCTTTTTTCTAATGGATTTAACCACATTAAAATTGATTAACTAGTTCACAATGATACATCTGCTCCAAGATTAGGGTTTCTGTTTCCCTTTTCCTCACACGTCTTGGTTCTAGTCTTCTAAATGTGAAAAGTTAATGAAGCTTGAAATCAAGTTATTTTATGTGTATAGTTTGGTAACATGAAGTCCTCAGTTTTGTTACTCTGTACTCTGAGTCAAGGGGCAAAAGGTGGTATAAACAGCAAACACCCAAACATTGCTAATGCATGTTATCTGCTTCAGGATATCATTCTTGTGGAAGGCCTAAAACTTGATGACATCCTACCTGGGATATATTCGGTTCATTGCTTACCTTTAAGGTTGCTTGGTGCTGAAGGATCGCCAACAAGATGCATTCTCATCAAATGATATATATTCCTTGTAAGTCCTGTGTTTTCTAATTGTTTCCACTATTGAAAGCAAAGCATGCGTTTCACGCTAATGGCATGGAATTGCTACTGCAGGCTTAACTTCTTCAAATGCTACATGCTTAACTGCTTCTTATGTTAGGTAAAACAAACGATTTATATTTTCACCAGTTTCTCTAGTAAGTTATGGTGGAAGACTCAACATGTATTTTTGCAGGGTAAAATGATAGCGCTAAGGGATAGTGTTGATCGGAATAAGACAAATAAAGGGTTTATGAGTTAGAACTGAAGGCTGTTCCATACTTGTAGAGAGGATGCAGTGCAGAAATTTAGTTGCATGGAAGCACACTTTTCTTGTAGTACATCTGTTTAGCTTTTTGATTGATGACATTAGTAACATACACTTATTTGGTATTGTTTCTGAATATCATGGCTAGATTTGGTCACTGCTTGCAATTGTTGGCAATGATGTCTATCAGTCTTCTTGACATCCCGAAGTAATTTTGACAGATCCATAATTGGAAAAGCCATCTCTATGAAAGATAAATATGTGTGTCAGTATATGGGTTGTGATTATATGTGCGTCTCCTTCCTGCTCGTGTTTATATGGGCCATACCTTGCTTTAGCTTCTTCATATATTGGCTGAGTTTTGCAGACTTTTGGATATTGGTTGTCAGAAATTGCATGAGCATTGAAGAAAACAAATCTTTTTGGATACATTTATGTGATTCAGATTGTGTTTAAGTTTGACATCCGTTAGTGGATTGCGAATCAAAGCCATGGATTTCATGAAACACTTTTTGCCCAGAAAAATTCATAATTTTTTGACCTGGGTGACTTATCTTTCTATATATAAGTGAATTCACAAGATGTTAAAAGTGATTGACTTAATATTTTTATTAAATTAAAAAAAATCAATTAAAAATTTTATTTTATTGTATTTTATATTGTTAGATTCCTGGTGGAACACTACTTGCTAACCATACAAGTACAACCAAATCTTCAAATTACAAAGAGTATCTGCATAGAGAACAACATTCGTATTTCTTTTAGAAACGAGGATTGCTGAAGAGAATAGTGAAGGAGACTAAACAGTCAAACCCATGAGGGCGGCCAAAATTAAAAAATTTGGATTTATTTTTAAATTTTATAAACAAGTTGGAATAATTGATATGTATATATATATATTCAAATAACCATATCAATTTGATAAAATAATTTTACTTAAAATTAACAAGAGAGATCTACATAATTTCAAAAGACTTTAAAAAGTTTATTATTATACTCATTTAGGTTTGATTATACAGATGTCATGAAATTTTATAACGTAAAATAAATTAAATAAAAACACTATTATCATTACTATTAAATAAAAGTTATATTTAATAAAGTTTTTGTAAATATCAAAAACACGTGCTGCGCTTGTCTAAATGTGTGATTCAAATGGGATCCATCATTTATGATAGTGTAAGAAATTTGGATTAGGCTTGTTGGCTGAATAACAGACAAATTGTCAAAAGTCTATAATTTTATTTATATTATTATTTCGTTTATATAAAAAAAATTGCTTAAAGAAACAGTGAACACTAACAATCGAACCCACGAGGGCCGCCAGGATTGAATCTTTGGGACTTATCTCCCCAAATTCAGATGGCAAAATATTGCCGTTCGATGTTTGATGGCACAATCTTTTCTTTTTCTATCCAACTAAATTAATCTAGCTCTTGGATCTGATATGGCTGGCAGATCTATTCTAAGGCATTTGTAAGATAAAAAAAAGTGTATGATTATATGTAGTTGGCTCTTATCATTGACTTGAACTACAACACTCTACCAACCACTTCCTTTTCATTTCATCATTCTGTTTGATTTTCACCATGGCTACTACCATGAACAAACATAACCTCTTGCTGCTACTTTGTGCCTGCATACTCACCGTAAACATCCTCTCCGGTGCTGCTGTAGCTTATGGTAATGGCAAAATCTTTGATATAACACACAAAATCACCTCTGAGTTGCCAACCTTTGACTCCCAAAAGGGGCTTGGTCAGTTCATTTGGCTTGTTTCCAGCATTAGAAATGGCTCCATGGCAAATGTTTCTCAGTTTAAGCTGGGAACCCACACAGGCACTCACGTTGATGCGCCCAGCCATTTCTTCCAGAAGTACTATGAGGAGGGGTTTGATGTTACTACTCTTAGCCTGCAAACGCTTAACGGTAAATTGGCACCATAAGCATGCCATTCATTGTTTCTTTTTGCAGTGTTTTTTGTTCTTCTTAAACTTGGTGTTTACATTTTTTGAAATTTAGCTCATCCCAAGCAAGAGTTTTCAAATGACCAGCAAATTACCAGCGTTCTTAATTTCTATTGCTTGATTTTTCATAGATGATTTGCTAGCGCTGGGGACTTGATTGATACCCTTTTTTTTTTTCCCTTTCTCGCTCTGATGTTTTGTGTTATTAATCAGTTTCTGCATTCTTTGCGTGGATATTGTTGATGATTTTACGTGTTTTATTCTTTGTATAGGTCCTGCTCTAGTAGTTGATGTTCCAAGAGATAAGAACATCACTGGTAAGTGTTCCTAACGTAGTTTCCCCGTTTATAATCAGAAATCTGTTTACTTCATTTTCTAGTTTCTCAGAACTTTTGGATCTAAATGTCACTTCAGCTCACTCTAGAATCATTCATTTCTGGGATTCATATGCAGCAATACCTGTCAATTCTAGTAAGATCAGTATCAATTAGTAATAACTGGTCTCGCAAAAAAACTGGTCTGACATCATAATCATGGATATCTCCGAGCCCAGCATAGAGTTTTGTTGCAGAACATCATAAAATAGATCTTCTCCATCATAAAGTAGATCAACTCTGTTTTCCCCATTTTTTTATGATGGGAAGTTGGGAAATTTTTTGTATCATCTTTAATCTTTCTTAATTTTAATTGCGTTGAGCTGTAGTAACTAAAATATGCTTTCTACAGCTGAAGTTATGAAGTCCTTGAATATTCCCAGGGGAGTGCATCGTGTGCTTTTCAAAACACTTAACACTGACAGGTAAACATAAATGTAATTAGATCTATTTACTTGTCTTTATTAACATATGAAGGAAATGAATATAGTGCGATGGGCTCCTTTTTCGTAATGTTTTTGAAGCATGACAATATGTAATTAAGTGATATTGACACTCTGCTTGATATGTTGTTTAACTTGTGCTTTGTCTAGGACAGAGCGGCAGTCGGTTGCGATCGGGCAACCGACTGCAATAACCGACGGTTGCAAAAACAACCATCGGTTGTTCCAATTGACTTCGTCCGCCGATCGGCTCGGTCGTCGGGAGGGACTCCTTCCCTCTGAAACCGATCGAAAAACCGATGAACTTTTTTTTTACGATAAAATTACCCTTTACCATTCTACTTAATTTTCCCCTGGCCTCGCAACCTAAATTCTCCCCCCCCAGTCCGTAGACCTAATTCCCCCTTGGCGAGTTGAAGTCTTAATTTCCCCCCTCCCCCTCCCCCCACCTAATTTCTCCCCCTTTTCCTTTCTTGCTTTCTGCCTCTCTCTGACTCCCTCTCTCTCTAACTCGCTGAAGCAACCCATTAATCTCACTCTTAAAAACCGACCGAACCGACTGAAATCGAACTTTTAAAAAATCAACCGAAATCGACATTGCATCTTATGCTGTTCGATCGGTTATATGGTAAAAATTTTTGATCGGTTTTTACCAAAAACCGAACTGAAATCGAAAAAAACTGACCGCTGCACACCCCTAACTTTGTCCCCCCGTATTGGCATCACATTACTGACATGTTTGCAGTTCTTCCATCTTTGAACTTTCACAGAAGCCTGTTATATGATGTTACAAGACTAGAACCTATGACAGTTAATTCTAGCAAGAAACATGTTTAAGGTATAATTCATAGACCAATGGTAAAAGAGTTAGCGGGATAGACTTGTTTAGGCTTTAAGAAGAAGAATAAGAAGGAAAAGACCTGGGCAACTAGTCAATGAATTTCATTTTTATTCCCCATTGGCTTGTGAATATCAAGTCAGTCTTGGTGCTGTTACAATCGACATCCTAAACTGAGCTGGTAATTTTTTAGCATATTTTGAATGAATTATCCAAATCCTTAATATCTTAAATCCTACTGGGGCAATCACTATAAAGATAGAAATGAAATACTTCTATGTAGTAAATCAATTACCCACATGAAGGTACAAGAAGATAATCCATTCTGAAAGGTCTGCTCTATGCCTCTACTCTTGTTATTACAAATGTTTTTCGTATTGTCTAGATATCTCTTTGTCTGGGAATTCCACCCATAAATTTTCAAAAAAGGAAAAAAATGGTGGGTTGCAGTAAATGGGTTCACATGTGAGTTAAGAAGTGACACCTTTTATTTTCAATATTGCAATATCTGTTGCAGGGGCTGTTTAAAGTTTAATGAAATGAATTTTCTTTCCATTTAAAAAAAAAGAGAGCCTCTTTTCCAAACTCAAGATTTTGTTGAACCAGAATTGGTTTGCTGATGATGCTTACAAATGATTTCATGATAGTAATATGGATGTCAACTTTCACGTTCAGGGGGCTGATGCACAAAAAGGAGTTTGCTTCAAACTTCACCGGATTTAAGAAGGATGGGGCACAGTGGTTGGTTGATAACACAGACATCAAACTTGTTGGTAAGATTTTAGACTTACCTTGTTAACAGACAAGGACTAATTTCAAAAACATTCATTTGGTAGAGCATCCCCTGCCCATAATTGACAACAGGGCTTGTGTGCCTGTGCCACAGATTCTGCTCTTCAGTTCTGGCTTGATGGGTAGATTAATGTCAGCTCATGGGCCACCAGAGCAAAGATAGCCAATTTTTGTTGAAAGGAAAAAACAAACAGAAATAAAAGTTAAAAATTTTTACAATTAATACATTGTATTTAAATTATAAAAAAATTGTAATAAAAATAATTTTATATAACATATAAAATTATAATAAAAATTTATAATAACATAAATCTCTCTTTTAAAGAATTACATAATAAGAAATAAAGTAACATAAAAGAAGAAAAAGAGAAGAGAAAAAGAAAAAAAAAAAAAGAGGGAGAAAGAGACGTGAATAAACTTAAATTAAGGTAATGTTGATTATTGCTTGTATGGTCATTTTATTATTGATTATTTATATTAATTATTAAATAAAAGATTTATTTTGAAAAGTATTAAAAATACATAATAAATAAAATATTTCAAAATTTTTGAAGAGATCACAACCTCTCTAAGATTATTAAATATATATAATAATTAAAAATTTTCGAAAATTTTAGGAAGGCCATGCCCCCCACAACAATACCACCCTCCGCCCGTGAGTCACTTCAACAGAATGTGTTAGTAACTCAGGGTAGAAAGCAATCTACGATAAATTTCCTTCCTACCACTCTGCTAACACTTTTTTTTTTTTTTTGAAAGTAAAGCTTGATCGGATTCAATAGCATAAATTGGTAATTACCAAAACCAGGCAGTCAAAGCAGTATAAC